GGCAGGTGGATTTCTGTGAGTTCAAGGCCAGCCTGGTCTACATAGTGAATTCCAGGACAGCTAGAGCTACAGGGAGACCCTGTCTCAAAAAGACCAAAAAAAAAATAAAGAAGTTAAGGTATGCTTCTACGAGTAGATAGGAGTTAAACAAAGATGTGAATTAGCCAGAATACAGAGAGCCAGAACATAGGCATATTTTCATTGAGAAACATAGAGTATAACTTGATGGAAGTGAGGACTCTCTCCTGTGTGGTGCTTCTTCTAAATAGCCATGATTTTCCTATAGCCCTGTGTCATCTGTACTAATGGGGATCATGGAACTGGGCAGTGGGAGCAGAGCTGCTAAAAAGAACAGTGCTGGGTTCCACACTGTCCCGCAACTAATTTGGGAAATCTTGGGGGCAGTTCCAGCCATTCAGAAGTTAGGGGCCTAGGATTTATTTCAGTATGTGCTCCTTCTGCTCTGCTCTCTTCTTTCCTCTCTTTTCTTGAGACAGTCTCATGTAGCCCAGGCAGGCTTGAAGCTTCCTATATACCTGAGGATTGACCATAATCCTCCTGCTACCACTTCCTAAGTGCTGGCATTGCAGACGTGCACCACTATACCTGATACCTGATATGTGTGTATTGCCTGCATGTAGGTAAGTGCACCCGTGTTGTGCAGTGCCCAAGGAGGACAGAAGAGGCTGTCGGATCCCCTGGAACTGGAGTTACGGACAGTTGTTAGCTGCCATGTGGGTGCTGGGATTTGAACCTGGGTCTTCTGCAAGAACAATGTTCTTAACTTCTGAGACATCTCTCCAGCCCCTTTTATCTGGTCTTTTTTGAGACCAGGTCTCCCTGTAGCCCCAGCTGGCCTGGAACTCACTGTGTAGACTAGGCTGGCTTCTGCCTCCTGAGTGCTGGGATTAAAGGCAGGTGCCACCAAGCTCAGCAGGATATAGTCCTTTAGTTGGGCAAAGCCCCCGCCCCCCGCCCTGTATAGGCCAGAGGTCAGCCTTGGGTGTTGTTCCTCCAGAGTGATGCACTTTGTTTTGGGGGGATAAGAGTCTCTCAGTGAGATCTGGGGCTTGCTGATTTGGCTAGGCAGGCTGGCTGGCCAGCATACTCCAAATATCCTTTCTTTAACCTTCCCACAGTAAGTAGTATAAGCGTGTGCCTCCATTCACACCTGGCTTGTGTGTGTGTGTGATATACATGTTTCTTTGTGTGCACATGTGTGTGCAGGTATGTGTGCATATTTATGGAGGCCAGAGGTCCATTTTGGGTGTTTTCCTCAATTATTCTCTGCCTTATTAACTAATTAATTCATTTATTTAGTGTGTGTCTTGGTGTGTACTTGTCACTGTGCTTGTGTAGAGGTCAGAGAACAACTTGTGGGAATCTCTTCTCTCCTTCCGTCACATGGGTGACAAAGGCTTTCCCTTTGTCTAGTGATTGAGGTGGGAGGTCCCAGTGTCTGCCGTCCTGGGTAATTGTCTTCTCTAGCACTTAGAGTGGCTCATCCTTTCTCACCCCCAGGAAAAAGAGCTAATTGATGGTAGTTCTCTCAAGGCCTTTCTTGCTGTACTTAGCTGGAGAGGACAGACACGTGTCCTAAAAGCCATGATTGTTGTTAGTAATAGGGTTAAAAGATACTCTTCCTGTGTGGGAGGCATAGTGTCCAAGACTGATGAGTGTTTTTCAATTCTTCTGCAGGAGCTGGTTGATCTTAAGATGTTTCAGTGCAAGAGAGTTGTCAATGGTGAGTGCAGTCCCGGCCTCAGTTTTGTGTGTGTGCCCAGCTGACTCAGGCAGAGCATATTCAGCTGGCTGCCACATTGCATCTTACTTATGGTAGTCTTCTTGGAAGGTTAATAATTATAGTACTTACTATAGAGCTTCATTAAGAAGAGTAAATGAGAGCCAGGCATGGTGGCACATGCCTGTAGTCCCAGCACTTGGGAGGCAGAGGCAGGCGGATCTCTGAATTCAAGGCCAGCCTGGTCTACATAGAGTTCCACGCCAGCTGGGGCTACAAGGAGACCCTGTTTCAAAAAGACCAAAAAAAAAAAGAAACCAAAAAAAAAAAAAAAAAAAAAGAAAAAAG